TATCTCTCGAGAGGGGGGCTAGAAAGAAGTCGACGGTCTACTCGAATCCCCTTTTCCTGAGCTTTCGTATGGTATAGTCGTCCTCACCCCACTAGTCGGTCGGTGGTCGAATTTGAATTAATACTGGAGCAGACCGGCCGCGGCAGAGCGCGGCAGACGCCTCTCAACCAAACGCTCGCACATGGGCTTTTTTATCATTTTCTTCGTGTTTCTTTGCTATCTCTCGTAGTGCTGCAATGTTCTTGATCAGATTCTAAGATTTCGCACCCCTTAATATTGTTTCGTGCACTTGTGCTCGTTCGCTTTACATTTTTCTTCCAGGTGAACACTTTCTACTAAAAAATTGTGGCACAATCCATTAAAACACACTTGCGCATATGTCACTTACCGGAAAAAGCTATTTCCCACCCAAAAATCCATCTTTCTTCCCGGTTTACCTGGAAACATGTACAACAAACGAGCACAACTGCACGAAACAATAGTTAGGGGTGCGGAATCTTAAAATCTGATTAAGAACATTGTCGCAATACGAGAGATAGCAAAGCAACACGAAGAAAATGTTAAAAAAACACGTGTGCAAGCGTTTGGCTGAGGGACGTCTGCCGCGCTCTGCCGCGGCCGGCCTGCTCCAGTTCAAATTCGAATTCGACCACCGACCCACTAGTGGGGTGAGGACGACTATATGTAGATTGCTAGGCGAAAAATCTTGCCAGTTTTCGAAAATGGGTTGGAGATATTTACTATTAGCTTGCTCCACTCAGCTCCTCCGATGTACTGGCTTTTGTTGATCACCTAAGCAAGCATTTTTTAAAGCCGGGAAGCTGGTTGCGTTAACAAGCTATATACCTCGAAAGCTGAGATTATGGAGAATCGACCTAGGCCGTCGGCTTTTTTCTGGCTCTGTCTCTTCTTGGCAGTAAGATAGGAGGGATTTATTTGACAGATATACATATCATTCGCTTTAGCTGACAAACAATGCACTTAAAGTCCTTCCATTTCATAAAGTAATCTTACTATCGTAGTCATTTATTATTCACGGTAATCATTGCATATCACAATGAGCTTTTTTGCAGTCTTTAGCAAGAAGTTTTTGGTCTTTATGAGCATCGACAACTTGGTAGACTTACCATAGATATAGACTTACTTATTAGTTGGTTTTTTTCTTGCTTCTCTTACAAGAAATGGCGTCTGTCTGTTTATCTATCTTGAAACTGTGAAAGCCTTAGAAAACCCTAAGACTTGAAAATAAATATGCTCAAAAATGAATGAGGCAGCGAACAAGCAACAACCATTTACGTTCTTGAAAAAAATTCAAATGTTTTTTGTATATACGTTTTTTGGGGTGTTCACTTTTCCAAATTATTTTTTCGCGAATTTAGTTAATTTTTTATGTTTCAGTATCTATTGTAAACGCCATTGATAGCGCGAAAAAAGCAACTACTGTAATAATTCTCATTGTAACTGATAGAAAATTTTCTTTTCTTGGAATATGTGGTTGATGTGTTTCACGACTGAGGTGAATCTCCAATAGCTTTTTGATCATGATTCAATCTCAGATTACCTTTCCAAATCAGCCTCAATGGAAGGAAGTCATCCGGGTTCTGGTTCAAACGTGAGGAGGGTAAGATCCATTGCTCCCCCCCCCCCCCTCCTATTGCAACTCTGCTGCCGACTACTTGCACTTCTTCGGGGAATTAGTACAAAAGCTTAGAAAAATAACCGGATTTGACCATGGCAGAAAGCATGAGTGTAGATTTCACTAAATTTCCAAGAGCTCATTGAGCATCATGTAGTGAGATTATAACCTCTAGAAGTGGATAAATTGCTGCATCGAACGCTCCCAAGAGCTCTTGGAAGTCTTGTTTCCACGAGATGTGTCGTCTATTTTAAAAAAGCGACATTACTTTCGGAACGACCTAATATGTCGCTCTGCGGGAGGCGTGCAAGTGGTACCCGGGCAGCCGACTGCTGCCGCAGCCAGCCGCCAGAGCTGCCGGGAAAACCGCTGCAGACGGTACAGTAATTACGCTCGTCGTCTAAAACCCTTGCCGAGAGGTTTTCTCGCACCTCGTCCCTCTGAAGTGCGAAATCAGCCGCAGGAATGCGTGATATCCTCGATATCTATATCATTTTGAACAGCATTAATTTCATGTTTTTTGAGAAACATGCATATAAACAAAGGTCAACAGGAGAGGGTTTTTTCAAAAGAAAATGATCACAGATTCAAACCACTTCGACTCAAAGCTAGTAGAGGCTGAAAAGTCCAGAAAATTCACAAATTTTTAGAGGTTTTTTCTCGCTTTTACGTCGAGGAATGGACGAGAACAATTACAGGAATAACGGTAAGAAAAGTGTAAATGATTATTTCATACATAGTGATGGTTAACCAGTTTGAGTAGGTCAATGATAGCATAATATCCTCATTATGTATATCATTTTGAAACAGAGAAAAGCCATATTTTATTAAGAACCATACAGTCGAATACAAAACTACACCAAAAAATTTCCGAAAATTCACAAACAATTACCCTATTTTCAGGTGTATAAGCCGCACCCTTTTTGCTCTAAACGCGAGCAGACCCAGGCGTGCCGCCGCTCATATGTTTCGCGAAGCGGTCGCCTTATCGCATACTGCTCTCACTTAACGCGCTCCATGGTGACAGTCAGTCTTTTGGCGTGTTCGCCTTTAGAGCGAAAAGGGTGCGGCTTATACACCTGAAAATAGGGTACAAAAATGGGTGAATAAGAAATCAAACAATTTTTGTGGTACAATGAATATCCACTGTCGTTTTAAGGATCCTTGATTTTACAAAGTAGAATTCTTAGAAATCAAATTCACTTTTCCAAAAACACTTCAGAATTTGAAATGCGGTTTTGTTGAGGAATTATCAGGGGTGGTTCTTTCAATTTTGAACTTTTATTATTTGCAATGAGTTCTGAAGTTTTTTCATTATTACTTTTTGGTAGGCGTGCAAGTGGCACCCGGACAGCCGAACTGCTGCCGCAGCCAGCCGCCGGAGCTGTCGACAAAAGCCCCTGCAGATGATACAGTAATTACGCTTGTCGTTTAAAACTCTTGCCGAGATCCTCGCACCTCGTCTCGATGAGGTGCGACAACAGCCTCAGGGATAGCATGATATTCCCGATATCTAGATTATTTTGATAGGCAAATATCCATAATACTAATGACTAGCAATTAAACAAAGCACAGAGTAAAGTCTGAATATTTTCCGCTTGTATAGTTTTTCTATTCGATTGCAAGGTTCTCAGCAGAACAACAATTTTGCGCTGTTTAATATGATACAGGTATCTTGGATATCATGCTACTCTTGAGGCTGATTCGCACCTCATCCCGACGAGGTGCGAGGAAACCTCTTTGCAAGACTTTTAGACGACAAGTATAATTTCTGTGCCATCTGCAGCGGCAAAGCCGCTGCAGATGGCACCGAGCCGCCGGCTGTGGCAGCAGTCGGCTGCTCGGGTACCACTTGCTACGCACCTGTTACTTTTTTATTTTCTTAAAATATCTGGAGAAGTGAACTGAGTAGATTAAAGTAGTGCATTCTTTGGTGATGTTCCCTTTTATATCAGCAGATATGGCATCAACAACTTAACCTGATTGATCTTCTATCTTCTCATCTTCTTCTACTAAAGAAAATTTGTGAAATTTCTGAACTTTTCAGCCTCTACTACCTTTGAGTTTTCGAAGTGATTTAAATCTATGATCATTTTCTTTTGAAAAACCTCTCTCCTGTTTACCTTTGTTTATTTGCATGTTTCTCAAAAAACATGGATTTTCTGCTGTTCAAAATAATTTAGATATCGAGGATATCACGCTTTCCTTAGGCTGATGTCGCACCTCAGAGCGACGAGGTGCGAGAAAACCTTTCGGCAAGAGTTTTAGACGACGAGCGTAGTTATTGTACCATCCGCAGCGGCTTTGCCGGCAGCTCTGGCGGCTGGCTGCGGCAGCAGTCGGCTGCCTGGGTACCACTTGCTACGCACCCCGCTCTGCAGGCGGTTTGTGGAGCCATTCTTTACAAGAAAAGTCTGTAGGCGGCACTTGAGATTTGGTCAAAGAAATGTCGTGAGAATTAAGGCATTTTGAGTAGTTGAGTCTTTTGTTTGATACATTGCCGTTTTGAGCGACTGCTTTTGAGGTGACTTACAATGGAGATTGTAAGAGAAATGGTCCATAGAAGATTCATAGAGGGGGGTTAGGAGTTATCGATTAATCATCTTCGAGTTACCAAGAATTCAAGATATTGCGATAAGTCAGCGGAATCTTGTCATGGTTTTTTTTTGAAAGATCTTGTTTTCATGATATGATTTTCATCAACTTCATAAAATCCCAGTATGAAGTGCTCTTTGATAAGTCACCTTATGAAAGGCAATGAGGGGAAGTCTTCTTCTATGAAAGAGTTTCTGTGAAGAAGGGATTTCGAGGAGAGGACGTAGTGTTCCGAAAAATATCAGCTTTTTGTTCTCAAACTCTCGTTTGTGATAAAACTCTTAAGAATTACTGAATGAATTGTAAAATTCTCCGCTTTTGTGAAAGTCCCTTAAAAGCGTTTCAAGTAGCTCTCAGAAAAGGTATAAAATGTAGAGATATTCGTGGTCACAGCTAGACGGTTAATAAAGTGTTTGCCCTGATAAACCGTTAACGGCCCATAGGGTCGCTAGTCTATAGGGAAGAATTAGTAATATTGACAAGAACTTTGAGTTACTGTGCTCCAACATTTTATTCTCTTCTAAATAAGCTCAAACAAAATGTCGGTCACTAGATAAGTAAAGCCTTACTATGCGGAATTCAATGAAAGAACTAGGAGCAAAAGCAGTAGAAATTTGCGACTTGGCAGATGGTTTCAATTGAGATGGCTTCCTGCTCTAATTCAAACATTCTCGACGACGAGACCATTATGTATGTGATGTATCTAATGCTCTTCTCTCATTTTCCTAAAATGATTCGGAATAAACCAAACAAGCTCCAGAATTTTCAGGGGTAGTATACGAAGTTTGCAAATGGAGCAGTGGTTTTGGTGTCGTACTTATAATTTCTGCTATAGCCGCTGTCGTTCTTGTGGCAGCACTTCTGGAAAAACCAAGTGATAATGAAGGTATTCCTTTGCAGTAATCATGAAAAAAGCTCTTTTGGGTTACTTTTGTCATTATTCCAGTCTCAGTGATAGAACAGAGCATCTTAAGTACAAACAGTCGAGGTTAAGGCTTGTTAAAAGCTGTGAAAATGCTTCTTATAGGTTAGAAATAAAATTCAGTAGCCAGGTTTCCTACTTTGAATCCTGGATTTAGATTACACAGAGACCTGACGATTGAACCCTTTAAAAAACAAGACGATAAACTTCTGTAGTATTATATACAAGCAGTGGACGATTAAATTTATCGCATAGTGAGTTGTTTCATGCCAACAATGAACGAGCCTTGTTAAGCAGTCTCTCTCATTTCCCTGTTTAGCCATAGGCTAAACAGGGAAATGAGAGATCCAACATGGCGAACGGCTCAGATTAAAAAAGTCCAACTGAAGAGATCGCTTACCAGAACATGCTGGCAAAGATTAAGAAGTGGCGAAAGTAAAGCGAATCTTTAGATTAAGTAAGAATAAGTAGAGTTGGACAAGAGTAGGACGAAAAAGAGCTCCATCTGCAAGAAAAAGGATTGAACGAATGAGGGCGAAATGGTTGAGAATGAGCCTGACATGGCACATGCCATTGAAAAAAGACTATAGAAGCAGGAGAACATGAACGCGAGGAACATGCAGAGCTTTTGTTGAACCGTCTTAAAGATTTGAGGCAAGTAATGCAAACGACGGAGCGCAACTTTGAGGACCGCAACATTGTGGTAGTATTTTGCCTGGTGCGCCTATCTTGTTTTGATAATTATCGTGTTATCGCTAAAATAATCACCCCGATGAACGACATCCTAACTTCCTGACCCCTCATACGGCCCCAGGTGTGGCATGCCACACCTCACGCTTGATCCTGGGAATAACTGGAGATATAACTTATACGAAATTTCACATTATTTTTCAAAACACAAAAGAGTACATTGTTTTGCAGTTCACACGACGGCTATCAATGTTGAGATTACAACAAGCGAACTGCAATCTACCGCTGCGATGACACCTACTACAACGAGTCACGCTTCAATATCGGCAGCAGGCAGCACTTCATTTACGACAACTTCTAAAACTAAGCGAACAACAATACTACCAGTAACCACCAGCATAGAATCAACCACTTCTCGTAAGTTGATCTTGATTTCTGCACAGCGTCTGCAGAGTAAACTATGAATTCATCTTTCAAGGAAAATTACGTTGCTAGGTTGAACACTTGTTAATTACTTTGGAGTATGCTATCGAACATTTACGAAGCGGTAGGGCTAACTGAGCTCAATTCTGGCAGATCTGTTCGCAGGCTAACCTTCTTGAGAATGAAGGGCTATTGTCTTTCAGACTACGTAGAAACTAACACGGTGACACAAAAATGGCGGCGTGGCAGGAGTTCCCAAAGCTTGGCCGCTTTCCCTCTTAGGGGTACTTGGCACCTCCAAAATCCCTTGAAGGACATCACACCTTCTTGGGGCCAAGGGGCGGCTCCGCCCATCACTCCTCCGTTTGGGTCCCCTCATTTTGAAATGTGTACACGCAATGTAAGATGTGCCCTGTATTTTGAGGATGATATAATAGAACTGAAATCGAGAAACAAAAAGAAACTTATAGGTTTCTGCAAGGTTTTAGAATTCGTAAATGACTGCAGGTAAATTTCAGCATTTCGAGTTATGTTTTACTCATTTTTTGGATAAAATGACGCTTTCTTGAAAACTTGTAAGTTCTCGCGCTTGAGTAAGTTTGTGAAGCATATCGTATTAATAGTATAAATCGAGCAGAAGTTATCTTCCAACTACAGTATATAACGGAGAAGCTAATCAATCTCACGCAACTTTCAAAATTCATCTAAGAGAACACTCAGCCAGCTCTTCGATTATGCAATGAAGATGGTATTCTAGTACATCGATTGCAGGAAAAACTACACTTGAAAATTTCTCTTTGAATTTGGATCTTATTGATCATCAGAGTAATTGGAATGAATAACTCTTTCGAAATGATGGTAGACGAAAGTAGAAAAGTATAAGTGTTTGAAATTCCTAGCTGTTGGAGAAAGCGTTCTTGCTCATTCGGAAACTTTGATATACTCCTTTCAGAGAGGTCCTTCCAATGTAGAAGGCTGTTCTCAAACTCCTGATGCTATTACTTCAATCAGATGACCAAATGTAAAATTGATCAACTAGTCCTCCAATATTTCGAATGACCGGGTTTCCTCTCAGAATTTCTGCGCAATTTTTCTTCTCTGAAAATAATGTTCAAATGCTCTTTTTAAAAGAATGGCAAAGCAGAAGTTTCCAAGCCGCCTCAGTTGATGAATAATAACTATGTTCTTCGTTTTTTCTCCGTTTCTCTCTCATTACCTCAATACCTGAATCTATGTTCTCGCTGCTTGCACGCCTCACAATGATTCCAGTAAATGGGTGGAGCGATAGGCGGGGTCTGACCTCTGAGGCACGATTGTGCTAGAACCCTTCTGGGTGCGAATGCTGGTGCGAAGTTGGTGCGAGGAAAGGTGCCAGGAACTCCTGCACGCCCTCCCACAAAAATAATGGGGCACCTGGTTCTTTGCATGTTGAAAGTGTTTTTGATAAAAGGTAAATAACCAGCCATGTGGATACATTTGTACAAAGTGACCATCGCAGTTATCCCGAAAGGCACCTTGCAGCTCCTCTCTTAAAATCCTTCGAGCGCTTTGGAGGAGTCAAACAGACTTATTTGAAGCCGTCCGCATTTTGCTGCTGTACCACAAACTACTTGGGCATGTAACATACTGTGCTTTCCAAGCTCTTTCTATCACTTGAAAGTGCAAAAATTATCCATTATTTTGTATAAAAGAGGCAGATTTTTCAAACATGTGCAATATTTTCACAGAATTCCAGATCTTATATATAAAGCTGAATGTCTGTTTGTATGTCTGTCTGTCTCCCGATCGGTCCAGAAATAATAATTGCTATTCGGAACATACGTACACGGGCGGAGCCGGGTAAGCCATCTAGTAGAAACATGTTTTGGCCTACTTATTTTCGATAACAAGATAATCTTGGGTGAAGTTTCTAAATTTGTTGTTAGTAGGGGAAAATAATGCGGTTTTGAGCTATCCCATTAGCATGACGCCAGACGCTCCCTCAAACAAAAGGGAGACGATTGGTGCACATCGAAAAGGCAGCTTATAAAGTTTACGCGGCAAAAGCATTAAGATAAAAATAATGAGGCATTTAGACATGCAAAGAAAATTTTCTGTAAGCAAATTTAGCAGTAGGAGATAGAAGAAGTTGTAAGAAATGCGATTAAACAGATTCAAAGAGCATTCTGTTGAAAAAACTCATATTGCAAATTGCAGAGCATAGTCAGCAGGCTCAGCGCTTTTCCATTTGAGGCGCTTATCAGCTGTCGATATCGATTGCATTTGACCTGCGTTGAACCTAGTAATGTGTGTCTACGGTCCTTGCGCATAGGACGACCTCGGCGTACTCGACCCCTAGTCGGCTCCGGGTCAGGAGTCACACCGCCGCGGTGGTCGCTTGCCGTGCTGAAATTTTGTATTTCACAGTAACTCTCCGGTACTAAAGTGGGACGGCGCCACAGTAGGGGGGGGGGAGGCAGATACATAATTCGATGGCATAAGTAACATTGCGACAGGAGTACTGACGAAAACTGAGTCTTGTACTGCTTGACGTCGCGTTGCGGCGTCGCCTCGCGAAAAATCGTGACTCCTGACCCCGTACCCTCCCTCCCCCACCCCTCCAGTTGGGTGCGCCTTTCTGCGCCTCCACACTAAGCGCACTATTTTTCTTTGCCTGTTCAGCGAGCGACGATGTCAATGAGCGCTGCACTGCAGTCCCGAAGTCCCTTGATTTCACCCAGCGGCCGCAATAAAAGATAGCCACCGGATGAGTTGCGGTCGAAACGACACGAACTGAATACGTCGATGTTTCAATCGTCGCGACCATCACCAGGGGGCAGTTATTACGGGCTCCGTGGGGCGTAAGAAGGAGGGGGAGTTTGATTAAAAATACGAGCTAGAAGAATATGTTTCGAAAATATTTTCCCTTCCTGCAAAAATTGGTAGTCGGGATAGGACTTGCTGGCCTCAATAACTGGAAATTTCAAAAAAAAAAACACTTTTTTGGGTTCAAAACACTTTTGAAGGCATTTATGTGTAATGAGTGCTTGCACCGATTGCCCTGAAAAAATTGATCTTAAAGCTTCACTGAAGCCACACACACTCGATAAAAGTGCATATCTCCACCAACAATGACCATCAATAATTTATGAATCTTTTTGTAACTTATAACTCTATCATACAATCTATTACAATCTAGTTATGGGGAAGCCCTACTATATCAAAGCCCGTTCTTTGTACCTCTAGATGCTCATGTAATTTTATTATATATGCTCAAAAATAGAGAAATGGTTGTGTCTGGATTGCATCTGAATTTGTTTGAAGTTATGAAAGTTTGTTTGCTGCGGTTCAACTGTATATGGAGCCACCCTTCCACCTTCTATCCCGAGAAGCTTCAAGCTGTTTCGTTGCGTCTTCAATGAACACAGAATTTGAAGCTCAAAAATTCCAGTTTTTGGTTTTTAGATTCGCATCTAAATTTTTTCGAGGTCTTGCTCTTAAATTTCTGCAACTTTCTTCATTTTTCACTCTTCTTCAAAAGCTCTTCATTGCACTTCGCCTTTTCCTAACTTTATTTACATATTTTTGAAGTGCAGCGCCAATTTCTCAACATTGTTCGGGAAGGCGCTGAGTTTTACTTACTTACTCCTGTTTAGATACCTACCATTAAATGGCAGGCTTCACATGACGTGCGGGCCCCAGCGCAGATGTTTCCATTTCCCTCTGTCCCTCGTTTCAGATATCCACGTTTTTCTTGGCTTACGTCGGTGGCTGAGTCACGAGTTTCAGGAAAAATCGTATCCAGCTGATTTCTCAGCTGGTCCATTTGTTCCACGAATACGTGTGTCCATCTCGTTGAAGGTCTTCCTCGGGGATGTTTTGCTTCGCGAGGAATCCACCCCAAAATCCTTAGTGTGTATCTGTCTTCCGTTCTTTTAAAGTGACCGGCCCACCGATGTTTCGCTTTCGCAACGTTCCGCTGGGTCACGAAGACGGGACATTCTTCTCATATCCGTGATGCGAAATCCGACAAAATGTTGTCTGTGTCGGCTCATCTTCAAAAGACTGGCTCGAGCGCTGTGTTGGTGTTCCGCAAAGCTTTCGACGTGGCTACGGTGCCAGCCCAAGTTTCAGCTGCGCGACAGAGCGCCGGGAGAAACGTTGAGTCGAACAGGTGGGCATGAAGCTCCTGGCCCGTCAGTTCGTCGATGGCTTCCTTTAGAGGCCCAATGGCGGACAGGCTGCCCATCTTCTCCTGTTGAGTTCTCCCCTCAAGTCGTTCTCCATGTTCATCGAACGTGCGAGATACAAGAAGACGTAAAACTGGCCTTCTTCCGATTTATTCGCAGTCCTAGCTCCTTTTCTACTTCATTTAGTTACTTTGGCATCGTCTCTGCCTCAGTGATACTGCTCGAAAAGAGAACGATGTCGTCCGCAAAAGTCTTGAAAGAAATCTTCCATTAACTCGTATTCCTCCCTCGTCCCAGTCCAGTGATTTCGTCACTCATTGCAAGGCTGCGGTAAATAGCTTCGGCGAAATTGTGTCCCCTTGTCGGAGCTCCTCCTAATTGGGATGGTCAAGAAGCGATAAAACAGCTGCATGGTCGTTGTACAGTCCTTATAGCAGTCGACTTCGTTCTACAGTCCTTGTAGCACTGTGTAACGTCCTTACGTAAGCTGGATCCACTCCTTGATCGACTAACGTTGGCAGTATTGCGTTGTTTTAACGCTGTCAAAGGCTTTCTCGTAGTCGACGAAGGTTAGAACGAGTGGCAGTCGGTACTCCCGGCAGACTTCTATGACCCTCGAAAACCGTCTGGATGGTGGTCCATGCAGTTGAATTTTTTGCGAAATCCAACTTGTTTTTGGGGTTTCGCTAATCCAGTGTCCTAAATATGCAATGAGAATGAATTTCGTGAAAAGCTTATACAGCACACTCAGCAGGCATATTGGACGGTAGTTCCGAAGATTTTCCCGTTTATCCTTCTTGAAGGGAGGGACGGTTTTTGACGTTC